AAAAAAAAAAAAAAAAAAAAAAAAAAAAAAAAAAAAAAAAAAAAAAAAAATGATTTATGACAAAGAAAAGTATATTGCGATTGAAACGACTAAATAAATATGATCTACCTACGACTACTTTATTACGTGTATGTATATATGTATAAATATTTTTTTTATTCCTCTCCACCTGTATTCCTCCGAAACGTCTCCAAGCCCGGAGGAAGAGTAGCAAGTGGTCAAGGAAGAGGATTATGCGGGCATGAAGTAACTTGTTTTGGGAATATCAATGTTATTCACTTGTTTATTATTGTTCATATCTCGATGGTCAACTGCTTTATCTCGGGGGCCTCTGGCCCCTTTCATCACAGAAACGCGGACCTCTGTCACTCGGTGGTGGTGACGCAGAAAATGTTTCCATCCACAGGGGAAGTCTTTGGGAAAACACAGTGGCCTGTGATCTAACTGGCTCGAGGAGCTACGGTTCGACCACTCATTTCATTTCTTCCCTCTTGGGCGTCAGAGGAAGGGAAAAATATATTCAATCAACTATACTTGTACATATATTATCTTGCTCCCTTTTATATAGCTCGGATTTTAACAAGTGTTAACGTTTATCTAGAATATCTTTGATTTACAATAACGTTTTTACTCAATCAACTTTTATTGGTAGTTAACTGCAAGGTGAATCAAGTATTGGATAGTTAAATCAAAGTAAATGAATATAATAATATTAATAAGTGTCGATAAAAATTAACATTTTTATTTTCCTATTTGCATTTTTCAATCAATTTTCAATAATTGTTTCTAATACAGTTGAATATGAAATAAGTAGCTTAGAATAATGTGTCTAATTAGTGCTCTGAAATTCCTAAAGTTCTCTATTAGAATAAAATAAATAAAAATAAAATCTACTCAATGAATAAGGAAAAAAAAGGACCGAAAAAATAACAAGGCCAGCTCGATCAGTAGAGATGACGTGTTGGAAAAAAATGGAGTGAAATTAAAGCAATACAAACTTTACGTATAAACAAAAATAATACGTATAGATATAAAGATATGCTATTAGGTACATCTGTCTAAGAAAGTATTTGATATTATATCCTTTTAAGAGCTGGCACGTAGGAATTAATGTATTATGTTGATTATGAAAAGGAATAAGAGGGTAAAAGAGGACAAAAGAAGAAAAACATAAAACGACATGAATTAGAGCATTGCGCTCTGTCGTCCATATTATTATATACGTGAAGTTGCGATTCGTATATTTTATAATTTTAATATGTTATATGATTGCTTACACGACGATGTATGATACATTTGACGTGTCTTTTACCTATAGGTACTGCTGCGTCACATAGTTTATACATGTATAATTAAAAAAAAAAAAAAAAAAGTAACGTTGACTATATTAAAAATATTTTATTGAGAGTCTGGAGTTGGTAATCAAAATGAATGACGCGCGAAAATTTAATCAAACAAAGAGTAACAATATAACGGATTGGATATAAAAATAAAACGAAAAATTATTCGCAAGATTGGCAATTACGATAGTCGATTTTGCAAAATTATATAAAAATGTTTTGACTATGTTGCTGTATTTAAAAGATTAAAAAAAAACAAACTAATGTTGTACATAAAATTCTAGATAGGTGACGAAATAATGGCTAAAACTATCTCTTAAAAAGAAAAAATGAAAAAAAAATTTGATGAATCTTATAAACACACCTACACACCTATACACACACTTTTTTTAACTGTTCAAACAGTATCACAATTGTGTACACTCTGCTCCATTTTCAGATTTTGCCTAAATTAATTTCTCCGTTCGTTTTTTATTTATTTATTGATTTTTTTTTTCGAATATGCACAATATAAAAATCATTTTTAAAAAAGTAATAAGTAGAGCCGCACGCGTACGCGACGCGATCTATCCGAGCACAAAAATAATCCCTCAAAAGGAATTAAACAAAATAAAAATTAAGTACCACCAGAAATGTCGATTCAGGATTGCTTTGCAAATCTGTTGAATTTCTGAAAGAAGTAAAATAAGGCCTTCATAGCTTCAAATTTTAACACAATCTCATGAAAAAAATCACTAACTGGATTCGAGATATGTAGCGCCAAAACGAAAAAGAAAAAATCAAATAAAAATTAAAAA